GTTCCGTGCATCCCCCTTGGGCGGGCAGGGGGGTGTAGGGGGGGGGGGGGCCGCGGTAAGGCGCCGGGAGGGACGGGTCACGGACACGGGACACGGGACACGACACACGGGCAGGGCCTTCCCGGCTGCCCGCGCCCGGGAAGCGGGGAAGCCGGCCCAGGCGACCCCCGGGGCTGGGGCTGCCGGCCCAGCGGTCTCCGCCGGCTGCTGGGGTTGCCGGCGGCCTGCAGGCTTTGCCACCCCTTCCCGCCCCAAACCCCGTGGGTTGCTGCATCCTGCCCTCCTCGCCTGGTTGCACCGCTCGGTTCGGACGCTTTGCAGATGAAAAATGCACTTAATCGTGGCATCCAGCAGACAGAGCCGGATCCCAGTCGTGACAGAGGCAGCTGGCATCACCCTACGGGGATCGGCTGGACGGTGCTGTTTTTAAACCACCCGAAGAGCCAGTGCTATGAAATACAGGCATTTTCCATGCAGTCACATTCCCATCTCTCGGAGGGTGGATTTTTTTAGCGGTCTTGAAGGAATCTGGGCTATGACAACAAAGACTCTGCTTGGCCGTGCTGCATTTAAATCGGGCTGTTTCAGAAATGCCCAGGGCTGGAGAGGAGCTTCCACATTCTGGGTACAGGTGCTCCGTTGTGCCAGGAGCATCCTGGCTAGGTGTCCGGATGGGCTAGGATGTCCTGATGCTATAAAGGGAAGATCAGAGCTTCCATAGCTAACAATCTCCTGCTGCTTTCAATACTGTGCCGGATGGGGACAGAGGGAAAGAAAGACAATAGCCTGCAGAAGCAAGTTGGTTGGCTGTGTGTGCAGGGGAAAGAGTTATCACGGGGTCTCTCCTTCCCTGCAGACATTTCTGGTTGCTCCTTCTCAAAACCTTTTTGTTTATTAAATAGAACAGTTTGCATTTCCCTTTAAGTGCATTTAAAAATAATTTCTTGGAATGCTAGATTCATATGAAAGGCTGCAGTGGTCTGTTGCTGTGGCTACTCTGAACAATTGTAATTTTGTGTATGTGGTTGTGTACAGCTGCAGGTAACGCAAATACCTGGGCAAGTGCAATCTTCTTTATCCCTGCATATGGGAATATGTAGGGCTGTAGAAAGGGTCCTCCTCCACACGTTTTCATTTTAATTGCGTGGTAAGATCCTGCTCGCTCTTGTTCCAGAGCTGGTTCCGAAAATGTAATGGACAGTGTCATGAGAGATGACAGGCTGGTCTTATTTGTGTGCCTGGCTGGCATTGGAATCATGGGAGTTTTTCATCAGGAGAAAGTTAGATGCATGGGCAGGTTTGCAAGAAGGTACGAAGCTCCTTCTTTAAACCTCTGCTCACTTAGCACCAATTAGAATTTATCCGCCCCCTCTTTTTCTTTTTTGACTGTCATTTTATCCTATTGTGCTGCAGAGCATGTGAACTGTTCAGTGGCATCCTTCCAGAGCAGTGACTTCACTGTCCAGATGTCTCGTTCCACATGGCAGTGACCCTTTTCCTGGTGACGTCAAGATTGATTGATATGTTTATTTATTTATTTTGCCTTTGGTGTGTGTGGGCTTCAGGCCAAGTTTCTTAGTATGCAGGCAACATCATTCTGCTCTGTCTGCTCCATCCATAAAAACAAAACAGCTCTCAGAGCACTATGTTGGACCTTTATCAAAAGCCAGTTATTTAAGCATGGAATTATGAACTATTTCCCAAACGGCCGAACACAGTCTGCCTGTTACAGGGAGAACAAGAGATTAGACTAGAGAAATAAGCCTGTATATTTCAGGAGGGCTGAAATATAAGTATCAGGGGAATATATAAACTACGAACACCTCAGACAGTGAGAAAATACTGACATTAGCTGGCTTATGGCAAAAAAAAATAAAAAAGAACAAAATAGAATTCTTCAGACTTTCTCAAAGGGTACAGATTTTAGCCTCCTTGTATGCTTTTCTTCCTCCCAGCTCTTTAATTAGTTTTTCCATTACAATTATTTTTTTGTAATACAAGAGAATTCTTAGATGTCTGTGAGGGACAGAACTTCTTCCATAGTGCGTGGCAGAGATGCTTACTAACATGTCCCTAAAATCTTACCACTATAAAAAAAGTAAAATGCCATACAAGCTAAACTATATACAAAAAATAGGTAAAAAAGAGGTGAGAGAAGGTTGCATATAATCCACTTTCTCAACAGAGACTGAGACAACAATAAGTAAAGTCACTTGCCATAGGAAACATCTGTGGAAGAGGCAAAAATTTAATCCAGATTTCCCATACCAGTCCTTTAGCTAGGAATCACCCTCCCTTTCTTGCTGGCACCCACTGCTGCACAGAGCCCCTTTGCGCTTCCCAGCGAAGGGTTGTACCATGTTTTACAATTGGCTTATTCTCCTCAACAGTGAGCCATCAAGATAATCAAATTGTTTTCTGTTTGTTTTACACAGGGAGGAAAAAAAAAACTTCAAAAAAATATTGCACAGGCATAAACAAACGCTGTATTAAGCATCCCATAATAAGGCTACCAAACTAGTCTACTTCAGCAATCAAATCCAATTACATGTCAAAACACTCCAAATCAATACTCAATATACACTCAATCTGTCATTGCTTCCTGCTTTATAGGGACCAGTTGCTACAAAGAAAACGATTTAAAAAAAAAATTACTTAAATATGTATAGATCTTTAGATTGGTAGATAAGCCTTATTTCTGTAAGGCATCTTGTAGAGACATGTATATTCAATTCCAGTAAACAAGTATAATTACCTTGAAAGACCAGTTCTAGCACATTTGAATGCAACCCCAATAGATACTGTGGCTTTCATCTCCCTGACATGCAGAGCCTTCTGTTTAACTAGCAGTAGTCTGGGAAATCTAGGAACACGTTTCTGACTTGTTCCACTCAGTCACGGAAGCCCGTGGTCTGGAGTGATGCAAAGAAGAACCCATTACTGCCCTTAGCCTTGCAGACCTGTTGAGCAACAGTGCTAGATGAGTAAATTTGGCTCATTCTTGCAAAATGGAAGTCCTTGGGTGTACTGCCAGCTCCCAAGGCTTACCCCCTACCTTTATTCCCTCCTCGCTCAGTGAAGACTCGCTTGGGACGGGTAGGGACTTTGTTGCTCATTCTGGGTGTAAATGCACTCTAGGAACAATCGGGAGGACGAGGGAAGAATAAGAACAAATTGCATAGGTTGGACCTGGCTGTAGCACTCTGTGGGTCACAGAAAACCCCAACTACCTCTGTGGTAATTCCCACAAGGGAGGGAAAGAAGCAGTTATTTCTTTAACTAACATTGCTATTGTAGGTGTTGTTGCTATTAACTAACCTTATTAATCAGACTTGTGAGGTCGGGGTTAGCCACTGCAGAGCGGGCTGCGTATGTCAGTGGGGTGAGCCAGGAGGTGCTGTGCTCTGACCGTAGCGCAATGACTCAGATGCTGGAATCTTCTCACGAGGAGCCCTTACAGCTACCACGACTTAAGGCAACAGACAGCTAACAACATCCCTCCATATACATCCAAGCCCCAGGCCACTGAGGGACCTCTGGGCTGCTCAGCAGGAAAGGGAGACCTGCAGTTGAGGTATAGGCTACACAAGACCATGTATATGCTCAGATTCGAGGGTGCCAGTCTTCACCTCCCCCATGCCTTGCAGCCTCTTGGCTGGCTGTAATGCAGTAGTTCAGAAACTCGCACAACTCCCTGGAGCAGCGCTGTCATCAGGCAGTGACCCAGCGACATAGGCAGAGATGTTTGTTCTAGCGGTGTGCAGCACTGTCTGCACGTTATTGCGGCTTTCATTAGGCAGAGAAAAAATGCATGTAATTCTAGGTCCATGAAAGATGCAAGAAAAAAAAAAAAGTGATTTGCCAGAGCAGAAGAAAGTGGAAAAACAAGTACATTTAGAAAATATTTTCTAACTCTTTCTAGGGTGTTTCAAACAGAATGGGAAGAATTAAAACCCTTAGTCAAACTGATCTTGCTACGTCTGATAACAGATTGAATTAGACAAGTTTTAAGCTAGCATAACCAGTTTTAATGCATCCATGCCTTGTGAATGTGTGTTAGTGAAGGCCTCTGCAGAAAAAAACTTTAGTGGCTTCTGTGTGATTTGTGTCAGTTCACATTGCACACCATTGATGTGCAGTTTGAGGTAAGCCAAACTTACTAGCTTAAGTTATTTAAAAGCAAATTTAAATTACACCCAGAATGGCCAAAGAAAGAATCTTCATCCATTTAATTAAATCAGTTTAACAAAAAGAGCACATGCATTGATTTGAAATTGTTTTTTGTTACACAAGACTTCTTATGTAAGCAAGATCCCTGATATTGCGGTTGCGTGAAGATACGCCTACATAGAGAGCTTCTTTTTGAATCAGAGACTAATGAGTACAATTGCCATCACTTGCTGGTTTAGTTGCACGAGAGAGAAGATATTATCACAAAAGCAGCACGATACTATCTCTATCAATCATAATACCTGTCTTTATCTGTTTATTCTATTTCTTATCTCTTTATCATTGCACTTCTGAAGTCAAAGAGTCTGAAGTATCTAAAGGGAAAAGTCAAAGAGTCTGAAGTATCTAAAGGGAGAAGTCAAAGCAAAGATGTCACCATATAGTTACTTCCTCTCACAGTACCAGCCAGGAGATGCTCTCCCAGTGACAGCAGTCCATCCTGTCCATCCAGCCCCTAGATATCTATACATCAGTGTGGTGCTTTCCAAAGGCAATGAGGCTTTGTTTCCTCTCCTGGCTTCCAGCCTCCCTTTTTAAGCATCCCTTTAAAGTGACTCCAAGTCAGTAATACAGAACCACATCTGGCCTTTACAGGGGTTGTACTGGGGCACGGTTTATAGTGGA